AATGTCGACGCTGATATTGATGAAAGATAGCCCAAATACGAAACATGGCTTCTAAATATGCTGTCCAATTTCCACTATGAAATATAATGGAATAAAAATCTAAAACCAACAGGATAACATTGTCCAACAAGTTAATAAGATATCTGGCTTCTAAATCTTTAGACTGTTCGAATTTTCGTAAAATCGGTAAATGCACTCGAGACTAACCCTGAGATGCTAATTCTAAAAGCAAATTAATCTTATAAGGTTTTGGCTTTTTTGCCAAAACCTTATTTTCTCCAAATATTTTATGAAAGAGTAAGTCAAAAAATTTATAATTTAACAAAAAAACAGTTTCACGACTATTTAAGGATACATGCAATGGCCCAATCATTGGAACAATATGCAAAATTTGTTCTGGTATTCCAGATCTTATGGCTTTAATGTGATGTACAATGGCACGCCGTATATGAAGTTGTCCAGGATAGTCCATAGGCGCTACTAATACCTGTGTTTCCAAGTAGGTTTTTATTTCAGGATTATCTATTAAGTGTTTAACCGCAACTACATAATCTTCAGTTGATTTAAGAGACCCTTTTTTTAGATCAACCAGCTTTGTATTCTTCATACTTTGATCAGTGCGGCGTTGTTCGATTCTGTCGTCGTAGCTATGAATTAAAAGCTGCTCAACTCGTTCATCATGGGTCTCTGACGTAGGTGTCAAATATGTAAACGCCTGCTTCTGTCCTGTATAACCAAGCTATAAATGAGGAAAGAAAAATGAGTTAGCATTTGATATAATAATATTTGCATCAATACCCCTTCATTGTGAATATTTTTTTCTTGGTTATGGAGGTTGTAAAACGGAATAGAAGCCACTTCTGGAATGGCTTTCAAAAGTATTGTAACAAAATAGGCAATATTATGCGTATTTGTTACATCACAACGATGGTATTCGTGGATATTATAGAAATCATCCACATTAAGGACGACCAAATTTTCATTCTATTAAAAAATTAATTTATTA